CATGATATAAAATGACAATGAAGATCTTCTGTATTGGAGTGTTTGTTCCACTTCATCTACAACTTTAGAACCATTTATGAAGTGGATGAATTTATTTTTGAATGCTATTTTTGACACTAGAAGTGTACTGGCATGAAAGAAGCACAAGAGACCTAATCAGTACTGGTAGAGCAAGATCAACTCTATTACAGTCTTGAAAGGGAAGGACAATTTTATGCAACTGAAACTTGCTGAATAATGGTGGACTGACATCTGAAGCTGTGGAGCTATGCTGTTTAAACACATGAGAACAAGCTGCCAAGTGAAGTTATTGAATTGCCTTCACAAAACATATATCCAAGGTTCTTCTTGAAACCCATCTAGGAATAGTTTCAGGATAATGAAATATTTTTTGTCCATGTTGCAAGAGATCATGTGTAAAGCAAAGAGTGAGCTTGGAAAGGTGGTTTAGGGGAGCATTGGTGTTGTCTCATTCAAACACAAAATGAGTAGGTGAGGCGAGTGGGTAATGCTTGGATCTGTAGAATATGATATTGTTGCTCTTTAGGCTTATGAAAACAACCATAAACTATTTATTTTTTCAGGGTCCTATGCTGATGGAGTTACAGACCTATCGTTATCATGGACACAGTATGAGTGACCCTGGAATAAGGTACAGTAAAAAGGATTGTGTGAACTTACTCTATTGGGTAATCTACACACAAGGTCTAGTGAGTGGTAGAAATGATGGTAGTAATGTTTCCCTCTTTCTCTCTGTACCTGCACACTCAGAATCAAAAAATTCATGCCACTGACAAAAATATAGAAATGTGGGTACCTTGCTGAAATCCATCTTTAGGCATGTAAAAAAAATTAAGGTTGAAATTTTGCTTATGAGAATCAATTTGACCACTCATATCCTCTTGCCCAATAACGCATCACCAACCACTACTGCTATACTGTATCTCTTAATAGGTTTATATGGCACACATCACAGTAATGTCTGACTTAATATCTCTCTCAGTTGCTTTGACTCATAATATTTCAAAGTGGCATAAGTCCCAATGTTAGATATATTTTTCAAAGATTTTACATTCAGTAAGACCTTGTTTATTCTGTACCAACAAATTCCTTTTTCCACTATTTATGTAAGCTTTAACTGACAAACGGCTTGTTTTTAAACCTCTCTGGTGCGTGCTTTCAATGAAAGTGTTGATTGTCCTTTGGTAGAGAAATTAAAGTAACGGTATTAGACTTTTTCATTCCAAATTAAATCTTAGTATTTTGAGTAGTTTTCACCCTTAGCGCACTAGCTCTACTCCAAGTGTTTTTAAACACATTGGGGACTGATGACTGTGCTAGAGTTTCCGTGTGGATTCTGTATTTCAGGAAGGATATTTTCTAGCTGCTGGAAAACAAGGTCAGGTGATGAGAATTTCTAGGAGGAGGTGGTCCTGTTACACCATTCCCTCTGAAGGGATCAAACAATTTTTTGATTCACAGCTGAGTATAAGAGCAGGATTCTGTTTCTCCTTGTGCTTCATCTTTAAGATTTTTTTTTTAACTGAGTTCTAACGAGTTACACCTGTGTGATCTAAGGGCATGTCTACACTTACCGGTAGATTGGCAGTGCTGCAATTGATGCAGTGAGTGTTGATTTAGCAGGACTAGTGAAGACATGCTAAATCGATGGGAGAGTGCTCTCCCATCAGTTTGTGTACTCCACCTCCCTGAGAAGCGTAAAGAAAGTTGATGGGAGACGTTCTCCCGTTGACACAGCACAGTGGAGCCACTGCGGTAAGTGGATCTAACTACATCAACTTCAGTTACGTTATTCACGTAACTGAAGTTACATAAGTTAGGTTTATTTACCGCGGTAGTGTAGATCAGCCCTCAGAGAGCATAACTTGAAAATAATGGAGTTGCACCTGTATCAGTGGGGGATTCGTTTTCCTGCAGATGGTTTTTGCTGGTTGTTATGTGAGAAAAGGAAAGACTCTGAACCCAGTTTAGAGGGCCAGTGAAGACATTGGAAAATTTTTTGCAAACAAACTGAGCACTAAGTCTGAATTTTCAGAAAGTTCTGTTTAACTTGAAAAGGGAAGTAATGGAAGCCTATAAGTGCAGTCACTTAAACCTAGAGGAGAGATGACACTGTAGGGAGCAGTCCTCTAGTGGCTATGACACGAGATGGCTTTAAGTATTTTTCATTTCTAACTTTAGGCACTGCCTTATGTAGGCACTTGTCTTAAAAATACAAGTATATTCTGTCTAAGTACTTAAATCCCCCATCATCTGACAGAGATGAATTCATTAACACATCCCTTGTGAGATAGAGAAATATCCCTTTTAGAGAGAGTAAGTCACTTGCCCAGTCACGCACAGTCTAGCAGAGTGGGAGTTGGATCCAGATCTCCCAACACAATCATTGCATTAGCCTTCACACAAGAATTACTTTTTTCACCTTATTTCAGTGGTAAATTAACTGTGTTCATTAAAATTCTTGCTATGTGTCAATGGGTAATCACAACTCATATGTCTGGGTGGTAGTGTGTGGAACTTATATAATGCATGTCTTTCCTTGACTCCCATAGCTATCGTACTAGGGAAGAAATTCAAGAAGTCAGAAGCAAAAGTGACCCTATTACTCTGCTGAAGGACAGAATGGTTAACAACAGTCTTTCTAGTGTTGAGGAATTGAAGGTATTAAGTGATATTTTTCAGACTACTCTTGGTGTTAACCTATTAAGGCATAAATGAGCAGCCGGTGAAAAACAATACATTATAGTAAGTGGCCCTGTGATGGTGCTGCCAATAGTTTCCCCCCCCAGCCTGCATAAAAGTGCTATTGGTAAGAAATGAACAACAGAATTTAGGGCAGTATTTCGCCTTGCAAACTTTTGAGTGACAGCTCTTGGAGGGGAAGAGTTTTTTAAAATATGTACTACTTGGTGCATTTAAAACTTTTTTTTTTTTTTAATTTAGGCTATTTTGAAAGCCCCAGGGATAAATCACTGCTACTAGAGATTAACTCCAAAGATGTCATCCCCATTCCCTTTCAGTTTGGTGGTGACAGGTCCCAGAAAGACCTCTCTAACATCTCCACCAAGTGTCTCAAATGTTATGCTACAGCTGTGTTAAACTCTTTCTGCGCTTCTTTTCAGTTTCTGCTGTTTATCGAGATAAGATTTTTCTTCTTTGAATTGGCTAAACAAATCTGGAAAGAGGCACGGGCCAGTTAAAAAGATGAAAGCTTTAACATCTTAATTTGTAACCAGAACTGAAAAAGAGGAAATGTAGGATATGCATGTTATTAATTACAGCTGTAGCTCTTTAAGTTGTGTGTAGGTTTGAGTCTACAAAATAGAAGCACTTAAAGTTCTGTTCTTTATTAGAAACGGAACTACTGTATTTGTTTTAGAAATTGTCATGCAGAATTGTAACAATGGAATGCCACTATTCGATCATAGTGCTTCCATGTAAAAGTAAATGGGATCAGCCAGATATACATGCTTTCATTTTCTGCCTGGTTCATACAAAGGTGGTTATATTTTACCTTCTGAAGGCAATTTGTGTATAAGAGCTCTTTCCTTATTCTGGTCCCAATCCCAGCCTTTGGAATGTGAGCATTTGCCAACTCTGAGGTGTTCCATCAGTGCATTATAAATTTCATGATGAGGGAGTTATTTTGTTTTTAAATTGTGTCCTTTAAATAGGCCTGGAAAGATTAATTGTTGATAACCATCCATTTAACCACACACAAACCCATGGGGGAAAAAAAATTCCATTGAAATTTACAGAAAGGCAAAGTAAGAAAAATGCTGCTGAAGAATTTACTTTATATATTTTGATAGGATATAGACATTGAGATTCAAAAAGTTAAAACTTTGTCATTAAATAATTGTCTGACACCCCCCTCAATTTCCCACAACTCTGAAAATTTAAATTGGAGGGGGAGCTTAATCATTGATCTTGTACAGTGCGCTTAAAAAAAAAAAAATCTGCCAGGCTCATCTTGTGAATCTACTACTAATCATACTAAACAAGTCAGTGGAACATAATTAGCGGTAATTCTAGAGAAAAGTTAGACTTCTGGTAGCTTATTAATTCTCAGTGTCCTGCATGTGATTAATGACTGCAGTACAGTCATTTGGTGCTGTGGGGAGGAGTTAGTTGCCGGAGTTCACTAACCCCTCAGGAAATGGCTTATTATTCCCTGCTTGAGTGTTTTGTATGCTTAACTAACTGGTAAAGTTTGCAAAAGATCTCTCCATATGTGTCTGGCAGTCAGCAGCTGTAATGGAAAGGGACAGTGTGATCATGATCCCTATGGAATGACAAGATGACTAACGTGACCTTTGGGCTTGAAGTTTAATTTTAGCCTATTAGGCATTTGAGGCTCCCATGTTTGCACTATGGCCAAATCTTGCAGTTCTTATTCAGGCAACTATAGTTCCTATTGAATGCCACTAGAAGTTTGCCTGAATATGGATCTTCTGATGTAAGCCTATCTCACTCGGCATTAGTTGCTGAAAGGAGGAAATCCAGCAATGGGCAGTAACTATTCCATCTGCCACCCCCTTTTATACAAACAGACCAACATTTGTTTTAAGATTGCTTTCTCTGTCACAGCCTCACTTGTCTTCTGTGTTTTAGGAGATTGATGTTGAAGTAAGGAAGGAAATTGAGGAAGCGGCTCAGTTTGCTACCACTGATCCAGAACCACCGTTGGAAGAATTAGGCAATCATATCTACAAAAATGAGCCACCCTTTGAAGTACGTGGCCCGAGTCAGTGGATCAAATACAAGTCTGTTGGCTAAAATGAATGCAATTTACTCCAGCACCTGTTACATTATGGCCACCTTGTGGGGGAGATTAAATTTTGTATTCGTTGTAAGAATGAACTGTTCATATTTAAGGTTGTTTATTTGGAAGAGTAAAATTGCTTTCAGCCAAGGACAGATAAGCATTATGTAGAAAAATGCACGTACCCATTGATAAGAGCTGAATTAGGATAAAGCAGTGGGTGGTTTTGGATTGCTTTACTTATGAAAGTTACTCCTCTAAATGTTTTGAATAATAATCATGTTATGTACAGATATAAATATATTAAGTGTCACACTAACGTGGTCTACCATGCCTGTTTGCTTTGCGTATGAGGTCATACTATTTGTCAGGCCCCACCTCTTTCAATAAGTTGGAAAGAGAAATAAGGATTTACTTTGGAACTCAGAAGTTTATAGAACTTGAAGATGGGATTAACACTATACAAATCAGTGTTTATGATTTTGTTAAATTGGTTTTGCTGCTTAAGGAAATAAAACTCTAGTCAGAGAGAGCAAACATTTCAATATTTAATATAAAAAAATTATTCAGAAGTTCTAGGTGCCCTTGTAACCACATACATTTCCCCATCTTATATACATTTAGCTGATATTTATTAATCAGTGCACATGATAGCAGAACTGTACAATACATTCTAAAAAATCCAATGTATCTAAAATTAAAATGCATTTTAAATACAAGACTGTTCAACCAATAGACTGCTCTAGGTATATGGCATGTGCTTTATTAAAAACAGCAAACTGTTTTCTTCAGCTGCAGTTGTATTTACATTGACAGATGCATTACATAAATAATGCACTTAATTTTTACAAATAATTTGTAAGATTAGCGAGTGATTTTACAGAAGTTTCAACATCCGGTATTAATGGGCAAAAATCACAAACACCCTCTTAAAGAAAGCTGTACTTATGTCCACTGTGCATTACATTTTGAAGTTACATTGATAAATGGGCCATTTAGCTGTGCAAAATTGCAGGACCGATATACAACAATCTAATAATTTAAGGATTACTTGGAATGTATTTTCTGCCTGCTCAACTGTGAGAATGAATTAACTGTTGGTTTCTGAGGGCTTATTAGCCATTTTTCTGTGGTTTAATATTGCATTCCAAATTCTGCAGAGATGACCACCACTATAAAGATGAAATGAAAATAGGGAACAACATTGAATTAGAAACTATATTTAAAATTCCAAAACATTATGCCAATTGTAATTGCACTCTTGGAAAGTGTTAGAAATTTTTAAGTGCCCGTGTGTGATCTCTCCTAGGGAACAGAAAATTCCAAATAATGATAGTGGGGAGAGCTGGCCAAAGCAAGCTGGGGATGATAATTTTCATCTATCGCTAAATATATCTAAGACTGTAAATAGTTCGTGCATAATTACCAAATATTTACTCTTCCTCAGCTAGTACGGAATTCAATCAATGTCAACTTTCTGGACTGACAACCTAGACAAGCCACCCATAATGGCCCTCATGTCAAAGATTATGTAAAGAAAACTCCACTTAACATTAAGTCTGTGGCATCCTAACTGTTTTAAACTTGCCCCAGTGATCCTGCATGTAAGTGTCCCTTGTGCCATAGGCCTTAACACCTACATCAGGGCTCGACAGGGTAAGCACCCTGGCGGGCCAGGCTGGTTTGTTTACCTGCCGCATCTGATTGCGGCTCCCACTGGCTGCGGTTCGCCACTCCAGGCCAATGGGGGCTGCGGAAAGCAGCACGGGCCAAAGGATGTGCTGGCCACCGCTTCCAGCAGCCTCCATTGGCCTGGAGAGGTGAACTGCAGCCAGTGGGAGCCGCGATCGGCCGAACCTGCAGACACGGCAGGTACACAAACTGGCCCGGCCTGCCAGGGGGCGTACCCTGGCGAGCAGCATGCCACAGGTTGCCGACCCCTGACCTACATGTTTACTATAATAACAAGAACCCTTTGTGCAATGAGAGAGCTTATTTAATAGAAAATTAATCTTTATAAACTCATTTTTTGATAAGGACCACTACAGTGATCCTTGATATCTTTATGTTAAGACCCACAGAATGGCAAGCAGGTACTCTGGCAAACACATTTCTGGCAGTATTCAAATGTTGCCTTACCGTAGTCGAAGGTATCTCAAGTCATCCTTAGTGATATCATTAAGGACATTATTTAGTGTGTAATCCTCTTCAGCAAACTGAAAGACAGAGTTGTTCCTAAATTAAGTTATGTTATTTCATTGAAACCAAACAGATTGTTAATTTTGTTTTTTTTTACCCTCTCAATTGCATCTGAGTCAGCTCCTTGTTGTCTTAACCAGTCTAGGAGCTCCTGGTCTACATTCTGTACAGGAGCTCCTGGAGGCCTTTGAAATTCTGTAATAATTTAAATATGTAGGTTAACGGGTCAACAATCTGTAGAATTGTACAGCTGTATCGGTATTTTCTAGGGCAAAAATAGCCTCAACAACCTGATGCTTTCCTCACGTAGAGGGCAACCTATGTCTGTGGGCCACAGATTTCTTCTTAGACTAGGGCCAAAAATACAATCATGCAAAATTATTTAGCAAGTCCCATTTAATAAGCTGATTCAAGCAGAGTTTTTGGTAAGCATTTGGAACTGAGTGCCTAGCAATCTATAGAAATATAACCCCTCCTACCTGCAGGCTTGGACTGTAACTGAAGCAGGTGTAACTCTTGGGTTTTCTGCTCTAGAGTTTGCCGTAAGAGGGTTTGATACTCTCTCTCCTTCTGAACCAAGACTTCCAAAAGCCTATCAAACATGACCAAAGTCGGAGATAGTCAAATTGAGAATAAAATCTGTATTCCTATTTATTAAATGTCCCAAAGAATATCTTGAGTACTTTCAAGAAATACCAGTATTTACACAAGAGCTAATATGTACACATTTCTGAGTTAATTCTCCTACACAAACAGCCAAACAAAATCCAGTCTAATTCCTAACCCAGAGTTGAAATCCTTTCCTGTAAACATACAAATACAGTAACTAGTCAAATATTCTAGGAACTATTTTCCTTTTAACAACTAATTAAGTAATTTTGATTTGACATTTTCTGAAAACTAGGTTAAAAGTGGTGTTAAGAGAGATTTATCCTGTCTAACAAATCATGTTTCGTAAGCTCTTTGGTGCAGAGAGAGAGTGGAAAAGGATGTTTCAGGTTAAGTGTCAAATAATTTTTTCTCCAATATTACTAAAATTTATAGTTTAGAGAAACAAGAAAGGATAGGACAAATTTTAATGATGTGCCAAAGCAGCAATGGGTCTCCCACTATTTTAATCACGTGGGGCTTTTTGCCAGGCCTTAGGGGACACCAAAATTATATGCAAGCAAAATCACAATTATTGACTTTACTAATAAAATTAAAACTAAACAATCAAGCAATAACCGTTACTTCAGTTACAGTCTTTTAATATGTGGAGAATTAACAAAATTACACCTTTAAGAGTGGGCCTGCCTCTAAGTAGGGGAGTTCATCTCTTGCTAAATTAAGACCAAAGTATATTATTCCCCAAATTAGTATTGAGTCCAGCCTAAATGTAAAACAGCTTCTAGAAGGGTAAATGAACTTTAAGGGTGAATCCTGTTTGTGCATCTATAAACTGTTTTATGATGATATACCAAAGGTAAGTGATCAGAGGCTAAGTCTTATAAACCCAAAGAAAGTGTTTAAATCAGTTACTCAAAAGAAGCCATTCACGGAGCTGTCTTGAGACAGACAAAATAATCCAGAATCTTAAACCCAAAGTAAATCCCACTTTTTTGCTGTTTGCCAAGGTTAGTTTATGGCTCTGTAGGAATGCATAGTCTAAACAATCTTGTTTTTAACAAGAGAAGCTGTTAATACCCTAAGTTACAATTGCAGTGCAATATTCTGAAAGTCACTGCAGGAAAAATTTAAATTTTGTCAGCTCTTTTGGTAAATTGCATCTCGCTCATCGTGCTGAACTGGAAGGTTGCTGCATCTCAATAATGTTCTGTGGCTTCTTTCTTGGTTAGCTGTCCAACTGCTGCTGTTGCCTGCTTGCAGACGGGTCAAACAGGCTGAGTGCGGGGAGTGTGCTTCTGAGAGTTGCCTGCTGAGGTTGAGAGACATGAGCATAGTGCTACTGGCTGCTCAGCACAGTGCGATTTTATATTCTTTCCATAGTCTTACTGAAGGAGGAAAACATCCTTCTTTGACTGGATTAGCTGCTGTCCTCCTTTCATTGACTCAGTGCCTTCATGGATTGGCTATAGCAACATCTTCTGCTACTGTCTATGCATCAGGGTAGTAATTTTTCTTCCATTCATTGACTATATTGACTTTAAAGATGCTCTGAGAACTTTCCAACATATCCATTCCAACTTTCTTGCATATCCCTTGAATTCCTTTGGGGGTTTCTACTTCAACTGGGTCCAAATATCCTTTTGTCATATGTAAAGGTCTTACCGCTCTCAATAGTTTTTTTTTAAACTTCAGCGTCCTGAAAATTAAATAGCCATTCAAGAAGGCACTGGAGAAGTGACTCTTGGTAAGGAATTTGCCCAAGCAGTGCCAGATGACTAGTTCCACACATTAATATAAATAATTCTCTACTAAACTGGCTTTTTACTTTAGTAACCAGTTCTAGCATCAAATGATCTTGCTATAAAATCTCTATTCACACAACATTTGCAAATAGATAAGGTGATTAATCATCACTAAGTACACTGCTCTACAGCCAAAATGCTTCTGAAATAAATGTAGTCAAACTTTACTAATTCTGGGTCACTGAGAACGAAAATGATACTTAAAATTGTTGATTGGCTCTAGTTTCAAGATATGCTATTTGGTCAGTATATCCGACCCTTGATTTGGGAATGACGGAGGATAAGTGAGTTATAAAGGGAAGGGATCTCCATTT